AGGTGGCATAAAAATGACTGTGATGTCTATTGATAACAGTCACAGGTACTGCTAATTCTGCTGTGGTGGGTTGCCTACACTTATCATTGGAGGAAATGTTAAGCTGTAGCTCGAGGTTAGAGAAAATAAAACGTAATTTTTCCATTCACAGAGCCTTTAGGATCTTGGTTAAGAGCCCTTCATTTGAACCAGTGATGTTTCAGCGGAAAGGGAGCCGGGCCAGGAGAACATGTTGCTCTCTGCCCGTGAGCCTTGTGACCCTTAGTCCCCGCTACTTAGATCCTGTAACTCTCCTGGCTTCTGTCTTTTCCAAAGCCTGCCTGTTCACATTTTCCTTCACTTCTGTAAATATCCTTCCAATAACTTACTCTAACTTCTTAATTTGTTGCTTCTCCACAGATAGCTACTTCCTCAGCCCCATGACTCCCAGCCTGGAGTCATGGAACAAGAAGTGAATGTGGGCAGAGAAGGTTCAAACCACTGAGGGGCTGGGTGGTGCTGGACTCAACTTATTCAAACATGAGAAACAGGAACAGCATCCTCTCTCAGGGCAGGTGTGTGGATTTCAGTGAGACGAAATATCTGCTCCTATGAGATCAAGGACTTTGATTTATTCTCTGTTGAATCCTATCAGTGCCTATCACAGAACACAGAAGGGGGTCAATAAATATACCTTGGCTTAACGGGTGTATCTGAATCTGAAAACACTTGAGAAACTCCAAAATGTAACATGAATTGCTGTATCCATTATTCCCAGGATGAAGAGAACAGATTCCTATTCTTCCCCTCAAAGTTTTGTGTTGGTCTTGCTTTCTCCTTCTTTCCTTGAATCTTTGCCCTAAGTCTCTGTTGGAATCCAGCTAATTTGCCTTCTGACTGATTTCCTGAAATTAAAAAAAAAAAAAAAGCCACCCTTCTTAAGTGGAGGGAGGATGGGTCAATAATAGGATGGGGAGAAGTCAGAGTGGCCAAAATGAACAAATCAGGAGACTATAGATGCTGGAGAGGATGTGGAGAAACGG